GCAGGCTCTGATGTGGGGGGTAGCATTGAAGGGCTCAAGGCTGGGGCAGAGGGCTGGGATGCAAGTGCTCTGGTACGGGGGAGAGGGGGAGAAGAGGATGGGGTGTAGAGGTATGAGGGGGGCCAGGCATGAAAGTGCTGGGCCCTGGCTGCAGCTGGGCTGCCCCAGCTGTGGCTGCGTTAGGGCTGGGGAGAAGCACCTAGTTCATGCCCAACCCTCCCCCAGCCACAGAACGGAGGCTAGGTTGGGGGTGGAGTGGCCAAGTGTAACACCACCTTGTGCAGGCGCCTTGAGCGCCTGTGCAGAGCTAAGTAGGCAGCTGCACTCCTTTTAGAGAGCTTAGCTCTCCACTAGGCCAGTCACACAGAGCCTTGCTACATCTGCTTGCTAGTAAAGCTTTGAGCTGTGGGGCCAAGCTGCTGGCTTTAGTGTCTTTTGCAGACCAGATTAGCAATTAGGGCTTGTTACAGAACCTCACTGCTAACTTAGGTCCTTCCTCCAAACTTGGGTGTGAGGCACACACAACTGCAACCACACTTAAGGAAACATGTCAACATCAAGCCCCTTGAGTTGTTCTAAACAAAGCGAGCAAAAACAAACACTCTTCAGCAGCATCCTTAAAACATGACAAAATCCACTGAGCAGGCAGAAGCCACCCCTGCTCCGAATGCGTCAAGTTTCTACATGATCCCTGCTTACAGAGCTTTTAGGATTGATTGTAACCTACTGTGCCAGTGCAGACAAATCACTTAGCTCCATCCTCCAGCAGAGGCACATCAGAGGGGTCACCCTACAGGGCTTTTCCATGCCAGGAAGCGGCACAGGAATCAATGAAAATTTCAGATCCAACTCTCCTGCTTGCCAGAGAAGTGTTCATGCTGGAAAGTTACAAATAAAACTGCAGGCACATTGGCTGGGAATTCTGGAGGTGTCCACAGCTGCTGCTTGCGTCTTTGACTGGCATGGTGTCGTACAAGCACACTGGGCTGAGACTGTTCCTGTTGATACAACCACAACACAAGCCTCCAGTTGAGCAGCCTCCTTCCAGACAGCTTGCCCATGCCATGGCAGAGATCACCAAGTCAGCATGCAGATGTGTGCGATGTTGCACGTGACTGGCATTTGATTACCCTGCTCTTAGGGAACACCTTTGTGTTACACAGCAGGGGGACTGCCAGCACATGGATTTAAGCTTCCCAGGATGGGAAGCAGACAAGCGAACACCATGGCTTGCCTTCCAGCTTGCAGAGGCTGCCAAACCAGTTGGGAAGTGAATTACAACACAGCAGTGAGACAGTTCGATTTCCCTGTACAAGGAAGAAGGTAAGTCTGAGCAACTTTAAAGGCAGGAGGAGCTAGTTCTGCAGTTCCAAAGTGATGCTTTATCTTCAGGCAAAAAAGCACCCCACTGCTGGAGCCTTCCAAAGTGCCCACAAATCACGGCTTTAAAAACTGAAGACTTAGCAGCTGGGAGATGGTTGTCCCAGTAACCTAGCCTTCCTCCCAAGCAAGTGTCATCCTGCCAAGAGAAACCCAAATCACTTCCTCTACATGGAGTCCTGTGGCGCTGTAAATCACTGCTGAGCACTCCAACTTGCTGTTGCCTTGTATATTCTTCCAGTTTGAAATACTTTAGGGCCAACATTCTTTAAATTCTGTTCTTAAATCCATGGCTAGGCCAAAGAAGGACAAAGTTGCATTTGCCCTCCTGAGAGCTGTGTGCATAATCCCCATTGGTGTCTTTGGAAATCTCCCCCTCCACAATGGGCTGCATTCGCAGACTGCACAAAGCACCCCGCTTGCTGGTCCGAAGTTCTGGTCAACACCTCACCTCTTCCATTTAAACCAAAAGGGTCAGCAGAGGAACAGGAGCATCCCTAACAATGCCTCATAAACAGCCTCAACCTTGCTCTCATACAGCACTTCTCATCCACAGAGCTCAGGGTGCTGTACAAGAGGTCTGGCCACAGGATCCTCATTTGACAGATACAGAAACAGAGGCAAAGAGCCAGGCAGTGACTGGCCCAAGGTCACGCAAGTAGGCCAGTGGCAGAGTCAGGAACTGAATTCATGTCCCCAGTCCCAAGTCCCAGTCCTGCACACTACCTGCTCACTAGTGCAGTGAGCCACAGGGCTCTGCACGGACACAAGGGGCCTACCTGTGTGGGTCAGTGTATAGCGCTCATGTAATATAATAAACAGCTGGCTGCATGGCTGTTTCACACCAGGTCCCTCTGCTGGAGAGTAAGCAGTGTGCTAAGCCCCACAGGTTAAGCCAATTTCTGGCACTGTCTTTTCTAACAATTCTCCCTCCTGTTCAGATAAAGGGAGAACAAGCCTGAAAGCCAGTTGGAGGGCTCTGAACTTGTACTATTGGCACTTGCTACTTACCTAGCAGACAGACAGATAAAAAGCCATCAAATGAAGCAGCACTGGCACACAGCTAGCCAACACACAACTCCCCTGCTTAAGGGGAGCATCCCTACTGACAACAGCACTTTAGCACGTGCTTCAGTCACTGGGGTCTCACATTTTCCAGCCCCTGACCAGCCCAATCACATCTCCTATCCTTAGCGGTGCCTGCTCCATATTATTGGGACAACGAAAACCACCACAAGATGGGTAACAGCCACTAGGAACAGAGACACGGGGCCAATGAACACATTTCCACTTCTCCCGAGCCACTTGAATGTGAACGGTTCAGGGGTGAGGCTAGGACTGTAATGGGCGCCTGATTAACAGCCAGCACCTCAAAGAAAAGAACTCCTTGTGCTGCTAACGGGATTATTGACATTAAAGACTCAAACATCTAAGATTCATGACAATAAGCTAGGGGAAGAGGTAGATAAATTGGAGGGCAGGGATAGGGTCCAGAGTGACTTAGACAAATTGGAGGACTGGGCTACAAGAAATCTGATGAGGTTCAACAAGGACAAGTGTATCCTGCACTTGGGACGGAAGAATCCCAAGCATTGCTACAGGCTGGGGACTGACTGACTGAGTAGCAGTTCGGCAGAAAAGGACCTGGGGATTACAGTGGATGAGAAGCTGGATATGGCACAACAGTGTGCCCTTGTAGCCAAGAAGACTAATGGCATATTAGGGTGCATTAGGAGGAACATTTCCAGCAGAGCTAGAAAAGTAATTAGTACCCTTTATTCAGCACTGGTGAGACCACATCTGGCATATTGCATCCAATTCTGTGCCGCCGCCGCCGCCCCCCCCATTACAGAAAAGATGTGAAAGCATTGGAAAAAGTCCAGCAGAGGGCAACAACTTATTGGGGGCTGAAGCACATGACTAACAAGGAGAGGCTGAGGGACTTGATTTTTAGTCTACAGAAGAGACGAGTGGGGGGGGGGGGGGGGGGGTTTTGGGGAACTTCAGAGCTGAGGCCTCTCCCCCCTTAAAAAAAAGGGTGCAGGTTTCACCTCTGTTTCCAGAGCTATTGTGGTTTAGAGGGGTAACACTCACTGAGCCAGGCCCCAACCCAAAGAGCCCACAATTTAATTTTGGCAAGTGTAATGCACACACAGGTTCATTGTCTGCGGTCCTCACATGGCCACAGACGATGGAATTTCTTCCCATCATCCCCAGTCCTCCCCAAAACTAAATGAGCTGCAACAAATTGATCTCTGCAACTGCTTTCCAGTGGATTTGCTCAAAGGACATTGCTCCAGGCCCTCACTCATGGATTAGCAAGTGAAAGGAACATACGAGCTGAACAACACAGCAGCCTGACAGAATCAAGACAAGTATAGAAATGCAACAAGGTTTTGTTGAGATACCAGGCACACATCCAGCAGCAAGTGTTATACTTTGCGCTTATACAGTATGTTTTATCTGCAGATCTCAGAGTGCTACAGAGACGTTAAGCCTCATGATGCACCTGCCAGCTGGGTTAAAAACAAAACAAAAGCATCCTCACTTTGCACTAGGACAGGCCAAGGCCTTGTCTACACAGGAATTTTGGTAGGGCCATTTTAGGGATGGGGCGGGGGGGCAGAAGAACGAAGATGATGCACTGGTGCAAACTCCTAGTAATGCACTACCTTAAGAGCCAAGATGAGCCTCATCACCATAACTCACTTTACACTAGTACAGCACATTCACACCAAGAGTGTGCACAAACACACCTACATTATGTATCAAGCAGGCCTGACATACATTGAGGTTCTGGGATTTAGACTAGAACATATTTAGATTCCTGCCTCCCAATGATTTCAATGAGAATATCTTTAAGTTTCTGAGCCCAACAGACTTGGCCAAAAACGTAGCAAGTGAGACACAGCCAGGCATTGCACAAGGAATCTTCGATTGCCAGTGCCATGGTCCAGCCACAAGACAACACTCCCTTATCACAAAAAACAACTTATCACAGGGATCAAGTGCAACATCTTTTTTCTCTGCCCCAGATGCAGATGTTGCTGGTAACTCTCCAGCAAATAGTGTACCAGCTCTTTCCTCCTCTTCCTTGTATGTATTTTTAAAGTGAATAAGTCAGAGGACAGTAAGCCAGGTGTTAGTGTGCTATTTAGGGGAAGATGAAACAGGGTATTTTCAAACCGTGAGTGCAGAAGGCATCTTCTAACAGGAGGCAAACAGCAAGTTGTTACCCAAAGCACCAAAATGCTCCCACAACAGCGTGATGGAAGCTAGCAAGTCACCCAGGATTCTTGTTAAGAATATTTGGTCCAATACCTCTCAGAAAGACTCAGATTGTGTCAAATTAACAATACATTGATATGGCAAGAAAGCAGGGGCTCACTGGTGATAAGCTGCAAAGCTTTTAATTAAGTAATTGTGTTTATGATCCCTAGACAACAATGCATACCAAGTAATTCTATTTTAATATTTAATAATTGCTCCTGTTTCACATACCAGGCCTCCAGTTGAAGTTCTCTGTTTTCCCATTAACTGCAACCTTAGCATGGCTTTAGGAGTTTGCAACAACCTCAGTTACCGCACAGAAATCAAAACAATTAAAAAAAACCTCCTACCTGGACAGCCTTGGAATCCTGCCAGTGACAAGCTGATTGAGTTTAGGTGATCTCAGTCCAGTCACTGGTCAAAGCTTGTTCATACCATTTAACATCAGAAAAATCTGCCTGGATGGAGCCAATGATTGGAACAGCTGGTAGCTGTATGCCCAGGTTAGGAGCAGTGGTCAGGAAACTGAAAACACCAACATACATATTATGAGAGGCTGACTTTCAAAGAGCAGCATTTTAGTCTGTGCAATCATTTTACTGTATCTGAGTAGCTAGTTATTAGGAAATGGGGCTTTAAAGAAGATCAAGCTAACAATTGCTTAGTTCCAAAATATTTTTTAATTATAGCAAGAAGCAACCTTAAAAATAAAACATTTCACTTTGTGGGATTCAAAGTCTAGATTAATGGCTAATTCTATTTCTCTTTTCTCCGTACACAGAGCCCTAGGTCAATAGCTACAAGGTTGTGCATTAAGGCACAAAGTCAGTCCAAGCCCATTCCTGAAAGGGATAGATGAATCTGATGATTTATACAGACACTATCCAGATGTGGCCATACCATGCATTTATAAAACGGCATATTTTCAGTCTTCTCTCCCTTGTGTAATGGTTCCTAGGATCCTCAGCTTTTTTGACTGCCGCTACCCATTGAGCTAATATCTTCAGTGATAGGGAAGTAAGAGGGTAATCAGTTACTCAGTAAGCATTGCCTTACTGCAGGCCTGGGCCAAATACAACCCGCCAAGCCACTGGATCTGGCCCGTAGCAGCAGCAGGGAGCCCCAGGCAGGCTCCCCCGCAGCCCGGTGGCTATAGGGTTCCGTTTTTGTTTTGAAACTGGAGGGGAGGGGGAAGTTTTAGGAGCCACCCCGCCCTCAGCACATTCCCATTAGCCAGTTTCTAGCAGATACCAGCCAATGGGAGCTGGTCAGCTAAGAAGAATCACACCTCCTCTCCTGGGATCAGTTATTCATGAAGCACATGACAAGGCAGGTAAGTATGGCAGCTGGCAAGTAAGTCTCTTGGCCACAGCCTGCCCCGGCACCTCAGCCCTTTCCTGCCCCAACTCTCTGCCCCCCCACCCAACATACCCAAACCCTCTGTCGTCCCCCCTTACACCCACATCCACTCCCAGATCTGACACCCCAATCTCTTGCCCCAGATCACAATCCTCTCCTACCCTAAGTCACATCCCAAATCCCTGCACTCCAGTCCTACTTTAAGTCACAACTGCGTAATCTCGACTCCAGTCTCCTTCCTGCACCCCCAGTCCCTTACCCCAAGCTCCATCCCAGACTCCACACTTCCTCCATTAATATCATGGAAGAGTGCAGCCCTCAACCACTTTCCAAAATCTTGGAGTGCCCCCCCCCCCCATCAAAAATTGTCTACCCCTGCCCTACTGGCATGTTTACTGGGGTAATTAGTTAACTAGCACCTAGCTGGGCCAGAATAGCCCTACATCTGCAGTGCAGCAAATCCTTCCTAGCCTGGCTAGAGCAGCCCCCTGCCCGCACCACACCACGCTGTAGGTGGGAGACTGCTCCAGTGGCCCCCTGACCACAGCGCAATGAGCCAGTTAATTGGTTAAACAAATAGTCTAACTAGTTAACATTTTCAATGGGATTTTGCATCCTATACCAGAAAGCCTTTGACAAGGTCCCTCACCATGGAAGTTGTCATGGGATAAAAGGGAAGGTCCTTTCATGGATTGATAACTGGTTAAAAGACAAAAAAGACAAAGGGTAGGAATAAATGGTAAGTTTCCAGAATGGAGAGAAGTAACTAGGGGTGTCCCCCAAGGATCCATATAGGACCAATCTTATTCAACCTATTTATAAATGATGTGGAGAAAGGGGTAAACAGTGAGGTGGCAAAATTTGCAGATGATACTAAACTGTTCAAGATAATTAAGACCAAAGCAGACTGTCAAGAGCTTCAAAAAGATCACACAAAATGGCAAATGAAATTTAATGTTGATAAATGTAAAGTAATGCACATTGGAAAAAATAATCTCAACTATACATGCAATATGATGGGGACTAATTTAGCTAACACTACTCAAGAGAGATCTTGGAGTCACTGTGGATACTTCTCAGAAAACATCCACTCAATGTGCAGCAGTAATGAAAAAAGCAAACAATGTTAGAAACCATTAAAAAAGGGATAAGGAATAAGAGAGAATATCTTATTGCTGCTATAAAACCATGGTATGCCCACATCTTGAATACAGCATACAGATGTGATCACCTCATCTCAAAAAAATATATTGGCATTGGAAAAGGATCAGAAAAGGGCAACAAAAATGATTAGTGTTTGGAACGGGTCCTATATGAAGAGAGAGATTAAAAAGCCTGGGACTTTTCAGCTTAGTAGAGAGGAGACTGAGGGGGGAATATGATAGAGGTCTATAAAATCATGACTGGTGTGGAAAAAGTTAATAAGGAAAAGTTATTTACTTGTTCCCGTAACATAAGAATCAGGGGTCACCACATGCAATTAACAGGTAGCAAGTTTAAAACAAACAAAAGGCCGTTTTTCTTCATGCAGCGTATAGCTGGCCTGTGGAACTCTGACACAGGATGTTGTGAAGATCAGGACTTTAACAGGGTTCAAAAAAGAACTAGATAAATACATGGAGGTTAGGTCCATCAATGGCTATTAGCCAGGATGGGTAGGAATGGTGTCTGTAGCCTCTGCTTGTCAGAGGCTGGAAATGGATGACAGGAGGGGGATCATTTGATGATTCTCTGGTTCCGTTAACTTCCTCTGGATCATCTGGCATTGGCCTCTGTTGTAAGACTGGATACCGGGATAGATGGACCTTTGGCCATACTGGGCAAAGACCGGTCTCAGGGAGTCATGCACAAAGCATAGGAGTGCATGTCGAGTCAGACAGGCTAAGACTTGTCTCAGTCAAGGATTTTTCACCAATACACCTATCCTAGCAAAAACTTCCAGTGTGCATGGGTGCAGTTTACCCTGATAAGCCATGCTGCACAGCTACGTGACTTCTATCAGTACAAAATTCCTTGTCTACTGGAACCCACTGAACCAACATTGGTCCTTTAGCCACTCATTCTACTCAGTGTCTTGGAAACAGGAAGGAGCCAGCTGCCAAACTGAGGAAGCACAAGAGCAGCATACACAGTACTTATGTTCCATTGGAGTTGATGGAAGATTAATTGGCAACAGCAACACAGCATGCACAGTGACAGAAGCAACAAGAGGGCTACCTAAGATTAAGAGAACTAACATGTATCTGAGAAGGGCACACACTTGCCCATTCTGGAAAGGACTTTAAGGCTGAAACTTGATGACAGACTTAGACAAGCAGCCATCAGCAATAATTCTCCCACCCACACCGTGCAAGAGCTTGGGAAGCTATACAAGCTGCATGCAGAGCCACAAAAGAAGTGAGCAGCTGTGGAAAGAGGTGAATGGAGCCCTATACCTGTTTCTTCACACATGGGATTTGAGTGTGGTAGCCCTCTTTAGAGGAAACCTAGACTTCAGTGATGCACAAAAGGTACAGAGAGAGGGCAACGCACTGCAGTCATCCTGCTGCCTATCTTTATGTGCTCATCCAGCCAAGCCTAAATTGCCCTTAGCCTCCTAGTATAAAGGCGAGTTGTGGGGATGGCCCAAATGGATGAGGAGCTTCCTTCTGCTCCCATAGGGCTCTGCAAGCCTGTAACAGCAGCATGTGCTCATGAGATCATTTTGGAAATCCCCATGAAGAGTGACCATTACAGCATAAAGGCATGTTGGAAGATGTGGGTGGATCAAGGCCAGCCTTCCAACTTTACTGTAATTAGGGGACTGGAAGAATTCCTTCATGTGAATTCTGTCAGAGGCCAGACAACTTTATTCTGTCCCCTGCAGCTGCATTTAAGTGACAGCTACATCTTTTGTTTTAGTCTCCCTTCCCCCTAAAACAAAGGGATTTCCTCCTTCTAGGCTTCAGAATTATAAATCCACATGTGAAAGATGAAAAGGCCAGTCAGGAAAAAGAGATTAAGCCATTCGCTCCAGTGTAATCTAGTAGAAGTGGTAAAATCTCTCAGCTGACATATTTCCTTTTCAAGTGCAGTTTATGCAGCCAAAACAATGCTAGATTTGTAGGTAGGCAGGGCAACACCAACAATTTACATCCAGCAAGTGTCTGCTCATGATACATAAATTAACTAGTAACACTTCTTAAGCCTGGTGCTAATATTGCCAAGAAAGGAAACAGGGCTGGCTAAAATCGGTGCGCTCGCTCTCCTGTCTTCCCTTTAAACAGGAACTCCATTTGCTATATCATGTATTTCTCTCTAGCCAGTTTTCCAGATCCTTCCCCAATTGTCACTGATGATTCAATGGCTTTGCATGACCCATGGAAGTGCTGACTAATGTAACTGTCTTTTTGTTAGGCAATAGCATTCATGTAAAACCCAGGCTTTACAGAGAAGCTGCAGCCAGTTTTCAATGCAGCATTGAGAAGGCTGAGGGAGGTGAAGAGAAGCAGGCAGCACAGACAAATATCAGAAAGCTTTATATTAAGGCAGCTGTTTTGCTGAAGTGTGACACTACTACTAAAGAAACCCCAGTAAGCATCTGTGCCACTTCACAAATCATTTGACTTTTGGTTAAGCATCAGAAGGATGCTATTGACCAATACAACTCTCGCAGAGACAAAAAGTTTCTACCCACCAGTCACATGCTAATGAGACTAAATTTACTTATTAAGCACTCCATGCTAGCCCAAATCACACCACCAACACTAACACCCCAAAAAAAAGAATTACACTTTATTTGAAAAATCTTCAACACATGACCATGAAAGAACAAGTTAGGAACTATTTAGAAAAGCTAAATATACACAAATCCATGGGCCCAGATGTTTGCATCCAAGAGTACTGAGGGAGTTGGCAAACGTCATTGTGGAGCCTTTGGTGATTATCTTTGAAAACTCATGGAGATCGGGAGAGATCCCGGATGATTGGAAAAAGGCAAATGGACTGCCCTTCTTCAAAAAAGGGAAGAAGGACAATCCAGGGAACTACAGATCAGTCAGCCTTACCTCAGTCCCCGCAAAAGTCATGGAGGGGATCCTCAAGGAATCCATTTTGAAGCATTTGGAAGAGGAGAAAGTGATCAGGAATAGTCAACATGGATTCATGAAGGGCAAGTCATGCCTGACCAATCTGATTAGCTGCTATG